TGTGTTGTGTCTGTGATATATATATATATATATATATGTATGTATGTATGTGTGTGTGTATGTGTACGTGTGTATGTATGTATATATGTATGTATGTATGTATGTATGTATGTATGTATATATATGCGTGTGTACGCGCTTTGCCTTGTTCTGAGTTTCTATATGTATATATATATATATATATATATATATCTGTGTGTCTGTGTGTGTGCATGTGTGTGTGTAGTTTTTTGTTTGCGTTTGTGTTTGTGTGTGTGTAGTTTTAGATAATTCTCCGCAAAAGATTATGTCCAATCCGTACGTAGGGATCTACACTTGATCATTCCCCAGCCGAACTTCTCTCAGACCAGTGTCCGTAGTATGCTACCTCATTACCATATCCATGGGGGTTAACAATAGTAACCACGTGAGCACAATGCTTCCAGAAAGACGTTCAATTCACTCCAGCAAGCACTTATACAATCAATCGCCATCTCTTAGGCAACTGGCCCTTCTATGCTTCCTTATTATAATTCGCACGGAGACTACTGGATATACGATCGAAGGAACGTTTTTGATCGACAACCTGAGCCGGGAGAGGTTCTGTTCTGCAAAAGCTTCACTAAAGCGGGTGATCGTATACTCAAACGGGTGGTGGCAGTGGTATGTAGATCGCGCGTGTTTGTGTTTCTCAGTGCTGTGTACGTGCTTACCCTATGTATGGTTTACACGAACGATGTACGAGATAGAGTATCTTGCAAGTGGAGTATGTGGTCTATGACATGGCATCGTTCTGTAGCTATTTATAGAATGACGGCGTCCACCATTCGCCGACTGACATCGCAGCGCCACAGTTCTCAAGTGTAACTGCGGTCTGCAATGTGGCAAAGATGTATTTACCTTTTAGTGAGCGGCTCCTTCGCCGTGTAACCTACATACATCATCACAATATGGACACCTTTCTTATGCAGGATAGCAGCACTATTTCATAATCAAAACAAGCCGGCGGAAAAATAACCCATCTGGAATGTACCTTTGAAGCTTAATTGATTTGGCTGTATCTCTAGTGATGTTCGGTTCCGCCGTGGTATTTATGTATTCATTGGCTACTGCGAGGCATTAGCCCATAGTGTGACGTATTAATCTCCGTGCACAAACAGTATGAGTTATATATGATTTTTGGGTTCTGCATGCGAACGCTCACCCGCTGCCATTATCATATCATTCATGTGCCATGCGAACACTCTTGATCTTGCATAAATGTATCAACAATTCTTACGTATGTACATATACTGATGTACGTTTATTGTCCGTGTAGGCTGGCGACCGGATTTCATGTAATTGTATCAGGCAGAATGAAGGCTTCTGCAATGGCGAGAGCTACCACAAGGTATGTGGTCTGGCAGACTTGAGTGGCTGTGTCCCGCTTGTTGAATACTAGCTTCTGATATGCGAGGTGCTCTGTACAGGTTTATATACCCGCCGATATCGTCGTGATTTATTCGGATTTAATTCTATGCGTCATTGGCACAGCTAACCTATACCCACGGCCTACGGTATCAGCCCAATATTTTTTGCAACGGTGTTGTTGATTATAAACCTGCAGGCTACATGTAAAGCCAGCAACCTACAAGCGCATTTCGAAATGCATTTTCTCGCTCTGTGTAGTAGCTAAATCTGTGTACGCTTAGTTTTAGTTCTTCTAGTCCATCCTTACACTCGCCGACTCTGGTCAGCTTCTGTCGTGCATTAACAATAGATTGCAAGATGTACCCAACATCACGTCTATGCTGGCTATCAATCCCGAATAGAACGTTCTGTTTTGTTTCTGTATTTAGTGGAGCAAGAAGAAGCAGACGTAACACTTTGTATAACTGCTGGTCTACTACTACCGTTGTTATAAAAACCGGCTTTCCACATTTGATTGAATGAATACCAGTCCGATCCCCGTACCAACAACTTTTGCTAGTTTTGCATTTGTACCTCCTTGCAGCTACATTATTCATCCTTGCGCTACATTATCAAAGTGTTGCTTTCTGGATTTAGAATAAGGCGAGCTTGCAACGAGAGTAGTGCAATGGACGCGAGCATTTACACGACCCTCTATGTTCAACAGCCGTGTCTGTGGATGTCATTGATTCTTTACTGCTCAAAACACACCCTTCAGATCCCTCGGGGGATGATGTGGCTTGAAGGAGACAATCTAGCAGACTCAAACGACTCACGCTACTATGGCCCGGTTCCACAAGCGTTAATTCTGGGGCGGCCCATATTCAGGGTAATGTCGGGTTTGGACGTGGTGTATTCTAGTTGGCACATGCAGTCGTGTTGATTATCATTTTATTGCGATGGCTTTATCGTTCAATTGTTTTGATGACATTATAAAATGTTTGCGTAGAGCTGATTTAACTTGCAAATCACAACAGATATGGCCGCCTTCAGCAATGGGACCCGCTCTGTGAGAGGGACGTGTGTTCTTGCTGTCGGTATTGAATTATCGATATCTAGTAGGATGAGTGAACCTACACTTCATACCGAATGGCTGTGTATCCATGCGATGACTTGCCGAGACCGTTCAACAAAAACACAGAAACAATCCCTTCCCTTAGAGTTCAGTATGCACCCATTCTACCTCGTCAGACCTGGATGAGTCTATTCCAAATCAAAAGAGCAAACCTATTACATACGCGCACGATCGAAGGGGTTCGCGACTGGCAGGCATCTTCACACTGAAAAAATTATCGAAGCTATTATTTATTATTGAGATTTTTCCCACTCCCCGCTATTTAAGTGCAAACTGAGCCGGCAACAATCGCAATAGATCATTTATACTGTACCCGTGTGTCGTAAGGAAGCGCGATTGCATCGATATAATCAGGACAAAATGTTACTGAATAACTGGACTTATGTGCCGTCACGGCTACACCAGGGCAAGGGCTTAGTCAACGATGCGGCAGCACTATGCGAGTCACTGTGAGAACCCCACAGCACTAGTCCATGGGGGTCAAAATAGTAAGCAAAGCAGCATAGCGAGCGCAGCGAGATACCACTACTAAGCAATTCATAACAGGCTCGAGCGGAAGCATGTCTACGGATTTCTGACTATACAAAGAATGCCATGGCATTTGTGAAGTTGTAAAATTACGACTTAATATGAATCTGAAAGGAGAAACGCTGTACGACCATAGAGCTCAGCAGCGTGACCATGGGGCGATAGCGATCGTACTGTCTTTCGCTACAATTAAAATTACACTATTAATATGGTTTGAGCCTGGTATAAACCCTTTATAACCTTTGCATACCGGCCGCCTGAATAGTGGACCAAGACCCAGCAGCGGTTGCAGTGGCAGATTATGTAAAATCTGTGGCAATCTTCAGAGGCCAGTGTAACCTATATTTAATAATTCGAACTTTCGCCAGTCACTGTCAGGGTCCCCGCTTTAATATGCGATGAGGTACGAGAAAATATATCTCCCACTTGAGTGCCTTAGCCCCAAACGTTGTTGCGGTGGCCAGTGAGCCTGCGCCATGTGTACCAAGCCATACACATTTGGCCAATACTTTTTTTCTGATATCTGTGCTGGTACATAATTCACCCGTCCATAATTTCCTCCTCAATTCAAACAAAGGCATTTCGCTACAGAATAAGGCTTGCTGAGTTGTTATTCGCTGTTTCTCGAGTAAATGTTGTTTCTATGGTGCATCATTCCTATCTCTTCGCACCTCGCGGTATATATACACGCAATAGCTTGCTGACCCGGACCACGGTCTCAAAAGCAAAAAACGAAATAATTACGTATTGTTTACTGTACAAACGCTCGCGACATGAATAAAATATTTTGATATCGTTGCGCTTGTATTTAGGCACGTATATGTAATATATAGCATTAGGCCTATAGGACAATTCAAACTTATCTTGTGTGATCCGTTCCATTCAGTATCCACCATACACATCGTCGAGCAGCTCATACTCAGGGATCGTCCAAACAGCGTTTTTCTAGGCAACGTATTCTCTATTTTAGCCTAACTAGGCAAACATTAAACAGGCTTACTAAACATTAATCCACGTGTAAACGAATGCTCCCCGTGACAATCAAATCCTCTTGCACCCCATCTTAATTCTTGCCATGAGGTACGGAACTTCTTTGAGTTTCTGCACCATTGTCTAGCTTGTAGGAATATACTTACTTTTTACTTTTTGAGAGCATTCGGCAAATAATACCCCAACGTTTAATTGTGACAATCCACTACTGTTTCATAAAAGCGTTCTTTGTAATGCATCAGAAACCTTGGATTGTATGTTGCACCAAGCTATCCAAAGCAACATCAAGATGAGAAGCGATCCTCTTCTGAATTTCCTTAAGGTCCCTACTAGAGTACACCAAAAATTGAATTGGAAAACAAAATTAGAAAATATTGATATTCTGAATCACCAATAGTTTTATATAGAAATTTTCCGCCAATACTATACTCTTTCTCGATTTAAAGTTGTGATGTTACACGGCGTGACTTTTCTGCTATTTGGCCCGCTTTCTTCGCGTTCGTATATTGCTACGAATAGAAAGATTAGATTGGTCATATTTGCATCCTCATCCCCGGAAGCTTCTACGCTGACACCTACATAGCAAATAAATATCAATTTTGCCTTTAGCTTCATGCCTCTTGAGTGAATGAACATGCTTGTTCTGTCGGCTTATCAACGCTTGTATATACATTATCACATTTTTAGCATATCTTTCAATTCATTTGGCATGTCAGTCTACGAGATGATCACGCGTACAACTATAGGCGGATATTTGCCGCTAAAAGATGACTCCTAAACAACTTGCAGGAGTGTTGAATAAGAGTATCTGTATGATACTTAAATGGTACCGAATAGGAGATATAAGGGGTAGAGATGAGCATAAAATTATGTCGAGAACACGAGAGGTTTTTGGTTTAGGCCTTGCACGTGCGCTTTAGATGCAAAGCTGCTCATCCGAATCGAGCTACAGGTCTACAGCACATCAAACCTTGCTCAAACGCCTCAATATTGGCAATAGAAACGTCATCTATCGGTAGATAATGCAAAACGCCGACAGTAGAAAATTGTGACGGATGTACCTAATAAAGGTTATTCGAAAAATGCAAGCCAACTTAACCAACAACGAATTCAATACAGGGAAATAGGTATTTTCTAGTGCTTTCTATGTGCCTTCGTGGTATTAGTCAGTAAATAAACATTCACCACAAAATTAGTCGTAAATATATTGATTCAGTACTGCTGCGACACACAGAACACAGACACAATGAATAATTACGTTGTTTACGCTGGAGTTCACTTTTCAACTTGCTTTGAACAACGAAGAGCGGCGTCAAACTCTAATGATCGCATTGTTGTGCCAGCCAAGGTTGAGTTCAATAGATACAGGCATTGTTTTGCCTCGCTCTACGAAGAAAGTTGATCTGCAAAATCTTGATCCCGCAAATGCGTTATGTCTTTACACATTGTAATCTGAAATCGAAGATCTACATGCAAGTATCGATAGCATACAAAGATGTATCTGCAAGTACAGGTTGACAGAGAACAAATATAGAACTATCTATCTCGCCTTATATTGATTGTTTCGCTTAAGCACTCACAATTCAAAACATTCGTCATGGCAATATATAAAAATTTTCAAAACGAATCAGAATAGTATCGATGATACATAGGATGGATATGTCTCTAGTTGTCCGTATCGACTGTCGTGCCTGTTAATTTTGACAGTGGCATATATTCGTGCATGTGAGGTTTTCTGAACTATATACTTATTTGTGATGTATACAAACAGCGATGGCGCTTGAACAGGACAGTCCTTTGGCGAATATATAATAAATTACCATTAAGCACTCTGGTATTGACTTCTGTATTCTGGTAGTATAAGAAAGTTACACAATAATTTGGTGCCCACACGATATCCTTTACAGCTTATTGGTTTATGAGTTTGACATATACGTATATATCAGATATATTTTTCTATTATCATTTGCAATGTCAACTCAGTGTCTATCGTTAGGTTCAAACGTCTAAATGTAGAACATGTGATGCTTCTGAAGGACCTATATAATTTAAATGTGTATTTTTTACTGTTGACATTAGGGATAATATTATTTATTTCAAAGGAGTCAAGTTACAATGTTTGTATATATGGTATGGCTCTCATAGCCGTTGTAGTGGTTCGGGGAAGATCGATGGGAAAAAGTGGTCAGTAAATTCCCTGTTGAAGCTTGGACCAAGTGAGTCGACAATGGAGGATATGCGCTGGGTCAATTCAGGCCGGTGCTGACAAAACCCTGACACCATCGAGTGTGCCACGTATTCGCTTTCTAACCTACTAAATAGCGTACCCACCTCTGTGGTTCGGATCGGGTCTTTATCGTGTAGTGCTGTGGAATGGGTTAGTGCAGAGTACTAAATGCCAAGTAGGACCAGGTTATCCGTCATAATTCGGTTGAGGAGCGAGGTTGGGGGTGAACCGATGCCGCACCAGACCACGGATGCACTCGGTATGTGCTGGTTTGCCTGTATTGGAAGTATCATAGGCCGAACCAACAGGCGCGATGAATTGGTTTGGACCGAAATTTGGAAGTGGTACTTCAACAGCGTGATTAGCCGGGGTATAGGAAACATTTTTTGATACGTCAGAGACGAGTGTGGGTACAGGGGTGGTTCTACATGCTGGAGAAAAGATCCAAGGTGTTCGTGGAGGGTCCAGATACCATGGAAGTCGTGGCGCTCCTGTAGTTGCTGGAGGAGATCAGGGCCAATGAGAGGTAGTTTTGGGCCTACCAGGATGCATTGGATCAGTTGCTGAATGCAGGCAAAGTGGCTGGTGGTGAATTTTTGGCCACCGGGACAGACAGGGAAGAGACATCCGTCAGTGCGGTAGTCGAGCAATGTGAACATGTACGTATTTGTTACAATCATAGCACAGAGCCGATTTGTGACTGCTCAGTTGTACTGGATAATTCAACATGCCAAATCTAACAGAAATTGTCTTTAAAAAATCGAATTTTGACCGGTTTTGGTCTGTAGAGACCTTTTTCTGAGTATACTTATATACAATCTAAAACAACAGATACAATATAGTCTCTTGATGTAGAAGTAGCGCAGTCGTACATCGTGTGTGAACATCTTGAACAAACACTAGTACGGGGAAAGATGCAACAACAAAATAGAAGAAAAAAACTATCAAGATTCACAAAACTTCGTTCGCAAGAATTGACAACCTGACGCCATGGCAAGTGCACTAGTACACTTTGAACGAAGGGGAGAAACCTCATCAACAAGTGCCGGAGAATAAAATTAAACTGCTGATATGATGTGTTTGATAGGAAATTCCCTTGCAAAACATCGTTGTTCAAGAACTACGGGTAACCGCTATTGTATTGTAACGCTGAAGATTTATGTTTTGTTACAATTGGATTGAAGCTCCGACGAACATCTTGAAGTTAGCTAGTACCTGTGCACTGTTGGGTATATTGAATAGTATTTGTTGTGAATTGCTATCAGTGACACCTAAAAATAGATCTAAGTTCGCACTGTGGACTTGGTTCGTGCTCATCAACGAAACAAAGATATCTATCTCCTGTATTTTTGCCGTGGTAATGCATTTTTTTTGCGGCACCAAAAACATCATTGGTGTACATCTTTTACACGAACAGCACAAGCAATGCTCCGAGAGTCCATATATCGCATTAAACGGCTGATGTGGATACCAGAAGTGCATATCTTCGTACGCAATTCACTTCAATCGATTTAAGGGTTCGTTTTAAAGTCGGAGGATACCTAGCCGAGAGAACGAGAGAAAGCTATTATTGAAAACACCAGTAAAAAATAGTAGCCTGATCAAACTATGTATGATAAGTGGAGACATATCTTCTTGATTATATGAATCTCAGTATTTTTAGTCAGAGAATAATTGGCGAAGAAAAATCAAACTGAAAAATGTACAGTAGACACTCTGAAACAATCAATCGCATATCTTGTGCACTTTCGAGATTAGCTATATAACATAATAATCCGTGGATAGCTGTAGTAAATGCTAGTACTCTGACCCTTCATGACATTCCTATCGCTCAGCTTGTTCTTTTCAAATACATCTTTAAGCCGACACAGTTTGAGTCTGGATTATATTATTATGTAAAACTTGTTTCAAAGAATATAACAATAAATAGATATGCATGGAGTATTAGAGGCAATAAGTCAGTGCTTAAATGAACATGTGCAGGTCTAG